TCCCTCGTTTTTTTTTTTTTTTTTTTTTTTAATTCTTGTCTAAACCCTGCCTTGCTGAGTCTCCGTTCTTGTGGAAGAGGCAGTTCAGGGAGCCACGGTCTGCTCTGGAGGTCACACAAGCCTGGCTGATGGAACTGGAAGCAATAGGTCTCCAGGAAAGCCGTCAAGGCTGAGTGCCGCCGGTCGGGGGGGACACTGGTGGGCCGTTGTAGTCTGGGCTGAGTGTGGCTGAGGTTGGAGGATGGGTTGAGGCCAGCAGTTCAAGGCCAGCCTGGGTCACATAGTGAGACTTTGCCTCAAAATAAATAAACAAATAAAAATAGAAAACTTGAGTGAGATGATCTAAGTCAAGCCTTAAGCATAGCAGATTTTGCGTAAATGGCAGTTTGGTTGTGGGTCTGTCCCAGACAGATGGGTAGGAGGGGCAGGTACAGTGCAGGTCCAGGAAAGAGGGACTGTGGGTAGTTGGACCAGGCTCCTCTTGCCCACTCCTCTGGGCAGGGTCTTCCTGGGGATGTGGCAGGATTCCTACCCATAACTCTCACCCCATATGCTGGCCAAGGCCCCAGCTTCCCTCTCTAGCCCTTCTACCACTGTAGGGTACACATTGTCACTCAGCAGCACCAGGGCAAGACCCCTCTATGTCTCTGACTTCCCTGAAGGCCCTGTGAGGTGGGCAAGAGGAGGCCCTGCCTCCCAGTTTTTTCTGGGGAATCAAACCCAGGAGCAGTCTACCACAGAGCTGTATCTCCAGCCCATCTCCCCCACCCCACCCCACCCCACCATTTTTTTTTTTTCAGTACTGGCTATTGAACCAAGGGTATTCACATGGACATTGAATCAAAGGTTTTCACAAGCCCAGCCCTGCCCCCTCCTTTTGTATATTGAGACAGGATCTTGCTAAGTCCTTAGGATTCCCTGGCTAGACTTATACTTGTGATCTTCCTGCCTCAGCCTCCCAGAATTCTGGGATTACAGGCATGCACCACCATGCCTGCCTAAGGCCTTGCCTTTCAAGAGTCCATACCTGATGAAAGGCCTTGGGGCAGTAAACAGGAAGCAGAGTGTTTTCTTGGGGACTCACCCCCTCCTGTCCATGTGGAGGTGCTTCTGGGCTGCCCCTGAGAGGGGCTCAGAGGGTGACCCAAAGTGGACAAAAGTCTCACCACGACTACATCCCACACTTTATTCCTCCAAATTCCCTTGTGCCGAAGCCCCAGAATCTAGAAGCTGAAAATTCAGGACCCTGATGTCCACTGGAAGGGAAACAACCCACCATGAGGAGAAGTGCTAGGGTTTCATTTCCTCCCTGGCATTCAGGGCCTTGTCATTTAGGGAGTCATCTCCTGACCTGTGGGGCCTTCCCAGCACCTCTTGCAAGGAACCCATCCTAATGATTGTGTGCCCCTTTGTCTCCAAATCTCCCTCTTTTTCTTAAGTCCCTCCCCCATTCTGAGGTCCATTTTCCACCCTGCCACACAAACTGTCCACAGAGCATGTCCTTTCTAATTACTCAGGATGAATTCACTCTCCTGCCATAGTCGACAAAGGACTGCAGCCCCGTGTCCGTGTCACACCTCACTTCCTCTTCACTGCCCTCTCGTGTAGCAGGCTCCAGCCTCAGTGACCTTCTTCCTGTTCTTCAAATCTGACAAATGCTTTCTTGCCTCAGGACCTTTGTTCTTGCTCTTTTTGCTACCTGGACATTCTGTCTCAACTCCCATTCTGAGCCTAAAACTCACCTCCTCAGACAGGTTTCCTTCCTGAGCCCCATCTTATCCCTCTGTATTATTTATGTCTTTGGCAGATGGGAGAAATCATGAGGAATGTTTTCCTACAAAGAGCAATACAAGGTGTAGTATAAATTCCAAAACAGTTTGTACAGTTCAAGGTTATTATAGTATGTAATGATTATTTACTCTGCATCTCCATTGTATTATTGAGGTTATTTTGAGGGATGGCATGGTGGAATACCTTTCTTTGCCCATTGTAACAGTCACCTGTAACAGCACAGCTCAGCAAAAGAAAAGCTTAACAGGTTTATGTTTGTTTGTTTTTTTTTTTGTTTTGCTTTTTGTTTTTTTGAGACAGGGTCTCACTATGTAGTTGAGACTGACCTGGAACTCACTATGTAGACCTCGAACTCACAGTGATCCTCCTGCCTCAGCCTCCCGAGTGCTGGAATTAAAGGTGTGCACCACCACGCCCAGCTCCTTAAAAGGTTTGTGTAATTCAAGTTTTATGTTATGTAGTATCCTTCAGAAATGAAAGCCCAGGCTGGGTGTTGTGGTGCACAGCTGTAATCCGAGCACATGGGAGGCTAAGGCAGTAGATTGGCTGTGAGTTCAAGGCCAGCCTGGGCTCCATAGTTCAAGGCAAGCTGAACTACATAATGCGACCCTGTCTCAAAAAACCTAAAAAAATAAAAGAAAAAGAAATGAATGCCCAGAGATCCAAGGGAAAAATTCTTTTTATGTCTGGGTCCAATGAAATAAGGACAGCTGTGTAGAAATTAATGTGATTGGACAAAAGGGTGTGGTATAATGGAAACAAACTGAACAGGAAACCTAGCAGGACCTGTCTAGCTTTTTCTTGGCCTCACTGTTTAACACTCTGCCCTCCTGGACATGGGGCAGGATCCCTGTAGGGTGAGGAAGAGAGAGAAAGGAGACTACCTTTTCTAGGTGTTTATACTTTGCTTTATTTTTGCAGTACTGGAGATTGAATCCAGAGCTTTTACACTGAGCTACACCCCCAATTGTTTTAATTTTTCATTGTGAGACAGGGTTTCCCTAAGTTACCCAGGCTGGGTATCAACTTATAGTCCTCTTGCCTTAGTGTCCCAGAGTGCTGGGATTGCAGGCATGTGCCACCATGTCTGGCGACCTTTCTGGTTTTTATGGCTCACTTTAGGGCAGTTTCTATGACCCACTTTGGGGAAGAGAAAGTCTGGTTTCTGTGGCTCATTTCATATAGGAGAAAGTAGAGTTAGGCCTTATTTCTGAGGCTCTTTCAATCTCTTATTTTTGTGCTAGAACCCGAGATAGAACTCGGATAGAACCCGAGGCCTTGCACATGCTAAAGCACATACACACACTGTAGCACTGAAATCTACCCGTAGCCCCCGTCTCCTTTAGTTTCAAGTACTGAGCATGGCAAGGCATCATACTTTGGGGTGTCATGTCCTGAGGCCCAACATACTCAAAGGACATTTGTTGATTAGAATGCTTTCTGAATGAATGGGAAATGGGGTATGCTGAACAGAAACTGGGGAGCAGAGGTGTGGAGGGAGCAGGGGTTGCTGAAGGGTTAGAAGGCCTTTCATGTGAAGATGACAAGAATTGTTATTCACCTTCAGGGTCAGACACCTGTCCATCTTTGCCTTTGTCTTTTGGCAGACTGTTGTCCATTTTATTCATTTGCGTAATCTTCAGATATTCCCGAGCAGCCTCCAATTGGTGGATTTTCATCACCAGTTATGCAACTGACTTGTGAAACCTTCGTAGTTAGCCTGCTGCTCCTGATTCTATAGAGACCCATGGTAAGTACAGATATGTCTCAGTTACTTTTCTGATTGTTGAAACAAAATACCTGACGCCCAAAGTTAAAGGAAGAAAAGTTTATATAGCTCACAGTTTGTAGGGGTTTCAATTCATATTTGGTTGGTCCCAAGACAGGGTGGCATGGCAGAGGGGCACTGTAGAGAAGAAACAGTTCTTTGCAGGCAGAAGATAGCAAAAGCAAGCAATTGACCCCCAACAAGCTTCTTTCTGTCCCTTATATTTTATCCAGGCTACCTGCCTTTAGATCCAGCCACTTCTGAAAAAGCCCCACCTATGACCATATGAGGCTTTGTGGGGACATCTAACCATAACAAAATCGAAACAAAGAAAAGCATGATTCTTGACCTAGAGGTATTATGTCTTTGGCAGACAGGAGAAATCATGAGGAATGTTTTC